GTTCACGAAGGGAGCGACCACTGGAAGGAAGGCATCTAGAGACCGAGCTAAAGGCTCCCGCACCTGTCTCCCGGAGGAGACAGGCCACACAAGGCCACCCCCAGGTGGCTGTAAGTCCGGTCCATCGCCTCCAAACCAAGAGGGAGACATTGTCTCCTCTCCAAGACCCATCGGTGTCCTGGTGGGTAAACTGGGGGAGGAGCCACACAGGAAAACACTTTTTGTTTTTGTTTAGTAAAATCCTTTTTACTTTATCCTCCGTCCAGATCTGGACTCATTCACACACCTCAAACCTGACAGAAAAATGCATTATTAGTATGAAAAATTATTATAGGAGCTTGGTGGTTTGAAGGAAAATTATTGCAGCAGTTAATGAAAAGCTCCAACACAAACACACTATTTTCTTTACCATGTTTTCGATAAGAACTGGCTGAAATGGTTGGAGGTGAAGATGAAGAAGTCTCTGGTGCTTCATTGTAATTGTCCTCCGTTGTCTCAATACCCAAGCACATGCGCTGCATTCATCCGTGGTCCCATTTCTTTGCAGATTGAATGTTGGGGAACAATCCAAATCCTTCTTTGAGTCATTAATCCTTTGTGGATTGCCAATTGAGGATTTATTTTTTCATATTTCCATACACTTCCCAACGTATTCTCTTTATTTCCACCACATGTGGTGAACCCTCACAGCGCATGTGCTGCAGACGTCCCGCAGCCCATTTCTTGGCAGATTGAAAGTTGGGAATGTTTCAGTTCTTTCTTTGAGCTTATTAATCCTGTATAATCAGCAAATAATCCTGTATAAACAGCAAAGTTAAGTTTTTTTAATTTTCATATGCTTCCCAACGCCTCCTTGAGCTTTCACCATATATGCTGCACAGAAGAAGGCACATATGCCGCAGCTGCTGTAAGGTCCATTTTATGTCACATTAGGTTTAGTGATACCGTAATCTTTGCATTTTAGGGCATTAAACCTGGGCTCAGGTTCATCACTTCACGAAGTGGTTTTGGACACTCTGGATCCTCGACATTTTAGCAGGTCTTTGACTGTTATGTGCAGGTTTTGATGGGTTTTTGGACCCGTTGTACATATTTTGACTGGTTTTAGCTGGTTTTGATCGGGTTTTCACCCTCTGGACTCATGTTGACAAGTTACTTGTACAAATACAAGGGTATTCATGTCCAATCAGCAGCCTTAATTCACACATGTAAGGAAGAGTACGTGCTGGGCCTCTTGGGACAGAACCGTTTACTGTGGACTTTTGGCCCTATGGCACCACAGAAGGGACACACATATTTCTGAAATAAAGGACATTCAATGTCCCCAACCTCATTCTTAAGCCAATGTGATCTATACACATGCTCCTCTTCCCCATTCTTTTAGCAGAAAGCACAGAGCATTTTTTGCTCAGGAAATGGACTTGGATATGGATAACATGGTCTTGGATATGGATTAACATGTGCAGACATGTACTGTATGTGCTCTCCACTTTGGGACAGAAACATTTTGTGTGAACTTTGCGCCCTGTGGCACCACACAGAAGACACATATTGCTGAAAATAAGGACATAAAATGTCCCCGACCTCGTCCTTCAGCCAGTGGGATGTGTACACCCGCTCAGACTCCCCATTCTTTTTGCAGAAGCCACAGATCATTTTCTGCTCAGTAGACTTGAATTGGCTTGTCCAAGTCTCTTGGTGCCTCATGTAACCAACAACATTTTTATTGGCCATATCCTTTGACACAGAGGAAACTGGATTCTGGAAAGCTTGTGAAGCAGGCAGGAAGGTTTGGGAGTGGTAAATTGGCATGCATTCTGAACCTTTGTCTTTAATCTGCAAAGACATTAAGGCCTCTTGCAAGTCATCTGGATCTGAGCAATGACATTTCTGCATCTGTAGTCTTGGATCCAAGCTTCCTCTTATTTCCCTGAGAGTTTTTGAGAGCCCCAAGTAATCCTTCCAGGGTTGGAAATGTCTGCTGTTTGCATCCATGGATTGCGGCATATGCAAGATTACGATTTCAGCCTCAAAGTGTAACCACAACATAGCGTGAAATCTGAGTATTTGCAGCATATGCATTTCAAAAGCATTTCAAGCTTCTGTTGAGCTTGCATCTCAAGGCTGTGATGCAAGGATTTGCAGCATATTTGTTATTTCTCAACACAGGAATCAGGTGAGTTCATATTGGCAGCCTACTGACAAAACAGAAGCTAAGCTACACAACATTTAAGAATGTGTTTGCATCCGGCTGTTGCACCAACAGATTACCAAACATAACATTTCAATTAAATTTGCAGTTCCACTTACCTAGTGTGCTTTACCAGCAAATGTTATGTCTGAGTTGGAAGGGAAATAAGTTGATCTGACTAAGAAGTGGGAGAAAATGCATGGGTTCTCCATTATTTAAATAACAATAGAAGGGGAGGGGGAAGGTAAAAGCAAATTAAATACTTTTGAGATTTGGGTAAAAGTAACCAATGTGCTGAAAATACTTACATCTCAACCTATGCAGCAAATTAATATGTGATGAGATTTTGGTGAAATTACCACAAATGCTACAAATCCTTAGATCTCAACCTAAGAAGCAAATGAATGTCTGATGAGATTTGGGTGAATTGGGTTATTTTGTGAACAGCTGGATTTCAGTAAAGGCATTCTGAGATTGTAAATATTTCATTCGTGAAACTTTGCTGGTATTYCTTATCAAAAACACCCAGTAGTTTAGAGATTCTAACGTGATCGCCTTTCTTGAGATTAAATTTGCATTTAACTCGTTTAACAGCTCTGTACAAATTGTGTAAAACCTGCAGTTTGTTTTCATCAGATATATCTACAGGGCACATTTTAATGCTGGAATGAAAAGACTCGTTGTAGCTTCTTACAAACTCGTGCAGTGCGTCCACATAACGGAGGGTGTTTTCAGCTGTAAAGTATTTCCACATCCTGGTTTTCAACATTCTGTTAAAATGCTCCACAACGGTGGCCTTGACATAGCTGAACGTGTAGAAATGCACCACGTTGTGCTTGTCCATTAAACTCTGAAATTTCTTATTAAAACATCCGTTCCTGCGTCCGTTTGAAGTTTTCTGGGCACCCCGCTCTCCGTGAAAACAGATTCCATTGCGTTCGTAACTTGAGCAGCTGTTTTGTTTTTCAGAACTCTTACGTAAGCACGCTTTGAAAACACATCACTGTTAATAAAAATCTGTATCCATTGTTGAAATCAGAAAGACTGTTCATATCACATGAATCAGCCTGAAATTGTTTTAGAGGGCCCGAGACAAAAACTTTATTCCTGGGAAAATGTATCCTGGCTGGCTTGTGCAGAGTGTATGCATCTTGACTGATTAAAAATGTTTTAATTTTATCAGACTTGATATCCAAACCAGTTTGATCTCTCACAGCTGATTTCAATCTCTGCACACCTCCGTAACTGCCAGGGTTGTTTGGTGTAATAAATCTGTTTTAGGATTTTCTGTTTTTCCATCCTGCCCCGAATGAGTCTGAGAGAAATGACTAGTAGACTAGAAAAAGCTAGGAGGTAGATATTGCAATACTTTTTTTGTTATAACTTTTGTTACAAATTTTAAAAAAAGACAACAACATTCAGTTTTGATTTAGAGAAAAGCAAATCATTAGAAATGAAACATTACATTCATCTGGTCATGAAAAACAAAAACAAATCAAACTTTTTTGTATTATAAATGAAAATCAGATGAAAAATCAGTGTAGGAGGTAGATCTGGGGAAAAAACTACAGTTTCTAATCACGCTACGTAAAAACTATTATTTCAAATCACTCAGAAAAAATTTGAAAACATAAAGCTTATTCTATTGTAAAAGTTTGTGAACGGTTCAAGACTTTTCACCTCAGACTCTGGCATCGATTCGTACATATTGTAAATCGTTTCAAAAACATTCAGCTCAAATCTGAGTTGAAATAATAAAGTCTGTGTGATGACTTTTATTGCATAATCATCCACAAGCAAGCCACGAGCTCTGAGAATCAGCTGGACGGTGGATACAAACCGGGCCTTCATGACCCTGTTCAAGATTTCAGCATAATGCGCTCCGAAAAACGCGTCCTCATCTCGCACCGTCATACAAAGATGCTGTAACTGGCTGGGATGGTTTATAATGCACCTGTTACACATTTCCTGGACGTAAGAGTCCAGAGTCATGTTGAGCAGATGAAAGATGGTCATCTTGGCTGTTTTAATCACCTCCGAATCCAGCCAGTCGCCACAGGAAGCGGGGCTGGTTGATGGTTCCCGCGCTGGTGAAGCAGGAGGAAGTGAGGCCTTTTGAGGCTCAGAGGCTGCTGCGGGCTCCGCAAACAGGTCCTGAGAGGCCGCTCCGGGCTCTGCTCCGGGCTCCGCTGGAGGCTCTGCATTCACCAGTGAGATTTCAGGTGTTGCTTCCRAATTGTCAGTGTCCGGAGCTAAGTGAGGGTTTGAGCAGAGCCATCTCACGATGTCCTCACCTATCGAATCGATGCAAGCACTCTGAAACTGGTCCGCCTCTGCTTCCTGTTCCAGGACCTGGAGGTCTTCTGCACCGAGTAGCGGGAGCTGGAGGTGTTCTTCATGTTCTTCTTCTTCTTCAAATACCGGGAGCTGCAGATCTACGAGCTGTGAGCTGTGAGGGGCTGTAGCCGGCAGCTGTGATGAGGGCAGGTAACCCGCGAAGTAGTCAGGATGTAGCTCATGCAGCTGAGGCATGGAGGCGTGGAGGGGAGAACCCATGAAGTCTTCAGGCAGATCGGCATTACTCACCCCCCAGAACGTTGTGAGAGATGGCTGTCGGAGCGGTCGGTACATTTTCTTGTCGGTCTTTTTGGGTCGGAACTTCTTCTGAGACTTGTGCTGCATTCCTGTTGTTCTTAAACTGTAGAGAGAATGGAAGGGGCGGAGCTGGATCTAGGGGATGGGGGTGGAGCCTTGTGGGTGTGTGTATGTGTGGAGGATTAAGAGTTAAAAATCCAATGTTTTTTTTAATCGCCACGACATCATTCCATTGATGACAGGTCTGAAATAGGGTCGTGATCTCAGCAGCTGCGTTATGCTCACGCAAGATGGCGTGCATCGCAATCACAGGAACTGACACAACAGTGCGAAAAGCCACACAATCCGTGTTAATGCTGTCTAAATGAAATATATTGCTAGGGTGGAGGTGGTCATTTTCGTAAATGCTCCCCTGCAATTTCCACTCGCCGTTATGACAGGTGTCGGATTTCCATGAAGCTCGATTCAGGACTTTTTTCTGTGACAGCTCGGATCTACTGGGCGGGTCACTCCAGATGATAGTGCGGTTTAGCTCATTGAGATGAGATGTTATGTCAGCCAAAAATTCAAAAGCTTCTATCCTTTCTGGGTTTTGCAGGTATTCCATGAACATTTTTGCTTTTTCACTCTTTTGCTCTGACAGAAACACTTGGAGCTCATTCCTAATGGCCCAAAATCATTCCAGGACCTTCCCTTTGCTCAACCATCTGATGTTGTGGAGGAGCACGTCATCAAATGCTGCATTGACTTCTGTTAGGAATGAGCGCAGTAAGCGATGTTGCAGTGCAGAGGATGTTCTCAAGAAGTTTAAAAGTTTCATCATTTCTGTCATAATTTCTGAGTACTCTTTTCTGAGAGTTGCACAAAAAACTGACTGGTGAATTATGCAGTGGTAGGATATCAGGTGAGGATGGTGAACTTTCAGGCGCTGAACTAATCTTTTACTTTCCCCATCATTGCTGGAGCTCCATCAATAGCAACTGACAACTTTCTTGCTGTGGAGTCTGAAAGTGGGATTTGCTTTATTTTAGCGGTCATTAAATCTTTTTCTTTGCCTTCAAACATGGTGTCCATTACTTCAGTGAGACATTCTTTTATTACTTCAGCATCGGAGAAAGGCTTCTTGTGCTTACCTAAGACCCACGCTACTCAGAGTGAGCACTCCTTTGCTTTTTGTTGTTGCGTCATAGAGGTAACCAGCACTTTGCTTGTTGCTTCATATGATGATTTCAGCCCCTTGATTTTTGTCTTTCTTACTTCTGACATCTGAGGAAAAGTCTCTTCAAAATTCTTGTGTTTGGTCTCGTAATGACGTCTGGAAAATTTGACCAAAGCAATGGTTTCATGGCATATTAAGCACACTGGTCTTGTGCTGGTTAGGGGAGAATAAATGCGAATTGTTCGGTCCATTCCGCTTAAAACTGACAGATTTCACTGTCCACCTTCCTTTTACCAGCGAACTTGGAGCATGCCATGTCTGCCGCCAACTTCTTTTCTTTCTTTCTTGTTGATTTTTTTTTCTAAAAGCCGTTTTTGCTCACGTGTTCATCTGTCTGGATCCAGCCTGTCGATGCTTCCTATTCTAAGCAGCCAAACTGAAGTCACG